AGTGGACTCAATTTGCACTATTTCTAGCACTCTGCAAAGGCCCTGTGTCTGTAGAAAGCATATGCCAAATTAATGCATATGCCAAATTTTGTCCTTAGGGTGAAACAAAATTCATCTGAAAAGATTCGACTACATTCATTATAAGATAAGATAACTCAAGTTATTTATTAAAAGTAAAATTCAGGCAGCACTACCACTACTTCTTTATAATATGGGGGGGGGGAAGAGAGACTATAACTAACCACCGGTAATATATAGACATGCTAATACATCTTTTAAAAGATTTTCATTTTTTTAATGAAAATAATGAGAACTCAAAATGTTACCTTTGTAATATCATAAAGTAGGTTATGCCCATGAGAAACACATTTTTGAAACCCCCAGGACTATATTAATAGTTTATTCCCCAAAAATTCACTTTTTCAATTGCTTTCCACTGTCTATATTCAAAATTCAGGAGAGGAAATGGCCATTTAAACTCAGTTACTAGACTGGTCTTATACGCATGCTGTCAATCTTTTTGCGCAGCAGAGCCAAAGAAGTATAAAGCTTTTCATAACACACATAAGGCAGGATGTTAGGCAAGATGATCCATCATGTTTACCATACAGATATATAGCTAAATGGTGCAATTCTCCTCTATTAAAAAAAAGTGAGGAAAAGGATGATATGATTCAAGCATGTGTGCAGCAATATCCCTGAAGCCCTTGAGTGACTTTCACACTAATATTCCTTGAGTGACTTTCACACTAATATTTCATAGATGGATAATGGAGGAAAAATCAGATGGCTATAACATGCTTTTGTTTTGATTTAGAAATCTCTCATTTTATAGGCAAAAAGGGATTTATAGTCCTGAAAAATAAAATATTGTCAGATTAAAGAAGAGAAGGTGGCATGGGACACGTGAAAAAAATGAACCAGCTTATATTAGACCCAATGGACAAAGACCAAGTGAGTGCACACTGAGTATGTGAAAAGCTATAGGAATATGCCCAGTGGAAAAGGCAGGCAACTCAGTCGAACAAAAGCAAACTAGGTGAATTAGTAGGTTTCTGTTATAATGCATCCTTTTTTCCTGCCATCACTAGAATGGACAGAATGAAAATGACCTTTTACTCTGTGTTGCTTACTGTAATTATTATATATTTCTATCGTCAAATGCAACTAAATCTAAACAACACTGGATACTAGAATACTGCAGGAACAGAAAAATAAAACAGGGACTTTTCACTATAATAGGTAATTTCTTACACTGGAGAGATAAAGCAGCCACTAGTCATGACTCTCGTATATATTTCCTCCACTGACCTCTATTGGTTGAAATGTCATACTACAAACTAAAGAGCGACTTCCAAACCTTTTCTAGTGCAGCAAGAAGCAGAATAAATGGTCTCTCCAACAGTTTGTGCTAAATATCTATCTGCTACTATTGCTTTTGTCTTTTCTACACTATTTCAGTAATTAAACAAGAGAGGCATTTCAGAGCCAGCATGGTATAGCAATTTGAGCATTGGAGTAACTCTAGAAACCAGGGTTTTAATCCCCGCTCAGCCATGGAAACCCACTGCGTAACCTTGGACAAATCACACTCTCTTAGCCTCAGAGAAGGCAAAGGTAAACCACCTCTGAAGAAATCTTGAAAGAAATCCTTGTGATAGGGTTACCGTAAGTCAGAAACAACTTGAAGGCACACATGTACGTAGTAACACAATTTGCATCTTTCCTAATCATCTTTATAGAACTGAGTCTAAAATAACTGTTATACCTAAGTAGAAAATTCAGGAAAAGGTCAATAATATAGAAAAATAAAATGTATGCAGATGCACAGCTTGGGAAGAGTGAGGCCAATTCCCAGACTATGCAGAAAGGAAGGAAGGAAGGAAGGATCCTTGTGTTTGGGTTCCTTGTCAAGATAAAGCCCTCAACTTTCTTAGTGGGTACTGTTAGGTATTCGTCTGAACTGAAAATTGATTCTATGGTTACAGAATAAAATTAATTTCATTTTAAATTTTAGAGAGATTAAGGACTTATGCATAACATATTAATGCACAATATAGCTTTATTCTGCCTGTATTATGCACAAGAGGTAACTCAGGGGATTGCCTTCGAGCACACTGGACTTTCCTTTGCTGGAGATTTTTAACCAGACATTGTTTGGCCGTCTATCAAGGATGCTCTAGCTATGGATTTTTCCATGGCAGGGGTTTGACTACTAGACGATTCTGTACCTCAAATTTGAGCAATCAAAGGGGCTGTATACACAGACCAAAAAGGCACATGTTCCCCGTATCCTCACAGTATCCTATTTAGGGCCTTAGCATGTACTGTTCAAAGGGACTTTAGTCTGTGTAAAAAAAGACCTGCCGTTTGCCACAGAGTTTCTACCAAACTCCGCAGCAAGACCTAGCAGACTGGATGGACCTGCATGCCTCTTACCTTCTGTTACCCAAAATGCTGGGGATCCTGGAAGGCACCCACAAATC